CATTTATCTGCTGTCCTGTGTTATATAACGGCAACTTAATGCTTTTTACGAAGAGAGAAAGAAGGTCAAAAGATACAGTAATAAATCAGAGGGGGTGAGGGTGAAGAGGAGATTACCGAGAATGCTTTGGGGGGGAGAGAGTAAGCCCACTTGTATACCGAAGGTCTATAGTTTCCTGTGGTAGGCAAAACCTTTGAAGCTCAAGTTCTTATTATGTGCTCTCAGAGCTGACTGAGAAGGAGAAGCTTGGACACTGAATTTCCCTTTGACACCAATCCCTTCCTCTTACTTCCATTAAGCATTATCAGAGTTGGTTGGGGAAAAATGAGTGGCATGCTTACAATGAAGGCTGACTGCACATTCCAGAGAGAACCAAGTCATGTCCTTGGGGAAATACGCAATAAAAAGGTAGGCTAGAGGTGGCTGTTGAGAATGCTTCATTCACTCAAGAAGAAAAGGATTTTAAGTAAATCATCATCGTTGCCCTCATCTAAAAATTTTTACATACACGTTTGATTAATGACCTTACATTTGGGACCAGGGGAAAATGTTTAAAGCAGAAAGAATAGGTTTCTCAGAAATTTTACTCAAATGATTTGCATTGTCATTGCTTCATGCTTGACAAAAATTAGGTCATGATGGTGACAATCATATTTTATAATACATGAATTAAGTAGTATTTATTGAGGACATAGTAAGGATGATAAATTATGCTAGGACCTTTCATATTCATGATTTTACCTATTTGTCACATTGTCCCCGTTGTAAGAACAGTTCTAATTTAAGCAAGTATAGTTGAGGAACTTTCTGGGGTAACAGCTGCTGTGTGGAATTGGGACCAGTACCTAAATTTGTTTACTCCTGTTATAGGATATGGCGATGGTAAGATCAAAAATCAAGACTCAGAAGGAAATGTTGAACCATAGAAAGATAGAGGGGGAAAAAAAGACAGGAGAATAAAAGACGGTTTACCTTGATAAACTTGTTCCAAAAGGGATTTGAGGTAACATATAAAAATATACATAATACAAAGAAATAAAATTAATTTATTAGTAGTAAGAAAAAAATCAATTGTTAATTAGATAGAGAAGAAGATGCTTATTGATGAATAAAAACCATAAGCATAGACATGGTTTTGCAATTCCAGTCAATCCCAAGTACTCAACCTTGGGATGGTTGAAAGGAGGAAATAACAAAGAATACTTTTGGTGTTGGCAAATGATGTTGGCACCAGGAGCCCATGTGGGGCGCCGTTTTGATTGCCGTTTCTTAATGTGGCTTGATATCCATAGGAATTGCGCCCCAAGTTAAGGCTGGTTTATTTTATAAGGATCTGTATATTGAGTCATAATTTATTTCCTTATCAAATATATGAGGATTTTTGAGATGTCAGTTATGTTCTGAATGATGACTCTATCAGGCAAGAGAAAAAAGAAAACAAAAGCGTTTATAACGAGAAGATGACAATCTTTCCAACATGTAGTCAAAGGGGTAAAGACAATGACAGGCATACAGAGAAAAGAATGCTATGGAAGCTGAGAATCAGAATCTAGGAGGACTAGATCCAGATTGAAAGACTACTATTGGCTAGCAAGAAAATCTTTCACCAGAGGTAGATCAGCTAGGAAGGCGTGACAATGGAGAAAACAGCTTAGGGAAATTTTTCTGGGCAGGCAAAATGTGTCTACCAAAGACTGGCTGGATCAGAGAGACATCCATGAAGTATTGCCAGCCCAGGTGTCAGGAATCAGAGTGGAGATAAGAAAGAAACAAGGAAATATACAAGCTTGTCTGGAGAGAGTGTGAGGACAAGCATATAGGGCAAAACATGTCATGCATAAGCAAGACCTTTAAAATACCTATCTAAAGATAAATACAGACCAGAGGAAAAATAAAGATATTAGTTGTGAAAGTGTGGTATCTAGATTAAAAACTGATTTTCTCTATGCCTAGGAGAATGGATATCATCAACAGAATACAGTTGTCCCCCCTTATCCGCAGTTTCAGTTACCCATGGTCAACCATGGTCCAAAAATATTAAGTGAAAAGTTCCAGAAATAAACAATTCATAGGTTTTAAATTGCATACCCTTCCAAGTAGTGTGATGAAATCTCACCATCCTGCTCCATCCTGTAGCCCAGGAGGTGAATCATCCCTTTGTCCAGGGTATCTGGCCCATTATTCAATTAGCAGCCCTCAGTTATCAGATCAAATGTCTCATTATCTCAGTGCTTGCGTTCAAGTAACATTTATTTTACGGAATAATGGCCCCAAAGTGCAAGAGCAGTGATGCTGCTAATTTGGATAAGACAAAGAGCAGCTGTAAAGTGAAAGGGGGGGAAGTTTTTGACAGTAAGAAAAGAAAAAAACAAAAGCTTATGCTGACAGTGTTAAAACCTACGGTAAGAACATAATCTATCTGTGAAATTGTGACAAGGGAAAAAGAAATCCATGCTGGTTTTGCTGTTCACACCTCAAGCTGCAAAAGTTACAGCCACAGTGTGTATTAAATGCTTGGTTAAGATGGAAAAGGCATTAAATTTGTACAATAAGATATTTTGAGAGAGAACAATTCACATAACTTTTATGACAGTATAAGATGTAATTGTTCTATTTTATTATTAGGTATTGTTAACTTCTTAGTGTGCTGAATTTATTAATTAAACTTTGTCATAGGTATGCATGTATAGGAAAAAGGGTAGTATATTTCCACAACACTATCTGAGGTTTTAGGCATCCACTAGGGGTCTAGAAAGGTATCCCCTTTGGATAATGGGGGGTGACTGCATTTTCTGTGTTTCGGAGCCCCAGATGCATTTGTCACACCATGTCTAGTGAAGTTGTTAACCAGCTGCTATCCATTGTCAGTACCCCATACCCCTCCAAGCACCCAGTGCACAATATTGCCTCCTGATCATCTGAGCTTCTCCCCAACCCTCATGTGCTTCACTTCTTCAGGACCTCAACTGCCTCACCGTTTCAAATCCTTCTTGTCTCCACTTGCCTAATCAGTGTTCCATAATTCACTTGCAGCCATGGTGACTGCTTGGGCCAAGAGAATACGTTGACCACAGTAAGTTCCCTACATACGAACCTTCAAGCTGCGAACTTTCAAAGATGCGAACGTGCATCTGGTTCCAGCAAGGAACCAGAACCTGTGCCATCCACGTCAGGCGTGAGTGAAATTGCAGCTTGCCCTCCGTCTCCTACTGCTGACGATCCTTCAGCTCTACCTTCTCCCACCTCCTCTCCCTCCTCCAGTCAGTAACTCTTCTTGCCTGTTCACTCAATGCCAGCCCCGTATGCCAGCTGTTGTGCTGCACTACTGTACTTTTCAAGGTACTGCACTGTAAGATTAAAAATGTTATATTTTTTGTGTTTGTTTTTTATGTATTATTTCTGTGAAAAGTATTATAAACCTATTACAGTACAGTACTATACAACCGATTGTGTTAGTTGGGTACCTAGGCTAACTTTGTTGGATTTAACGAACAAATTGGACTTACGAACTTGCTCTTGGAATGGAACTCGTTCATATGCGGGGGACTTACTGTATTGATAATAGTGAGCTTTGTAGTATCAGTTGCATTCCCTAACACCTGCAGAGGGTTAAAGTCTTTCCCCATCTCTCAACTTCTCCGATAAGGCTATTGCAGTCCCATGGGGGAGTCAGTGTGGTACCCAGAGGAAAGCAGACTTGGCGTGGAAAGCTTAGGGGATGCAAGAAACTCTCCTTCCTCGGGACACCAATTCAAGGGCTCATCTTCCTTCTGCTTCTTCTCACTGTCAAAGTGGTAAAACCTTGAGGGTCTAAGCTTTGTGGGCCCAGGCTAAAGGAATGGGGCCAAGGAAGCTACTTACCTGCTTGGATCTCCAGCTAACACAGGGGTTTAGGCCACTGACTCGAGTCAAGAATCCTAGAAAGGGTGAAATAATCAGACAGAGAAAGACAAATACTGTATGATATCACCTATATGTGAGGTCTAAAAAAATACAACAAACCAGTGAATGTAACAAAAAAGAAGCAGACTCACAGGTATAGAGAACAAACTAGTGGTTACCAATGAGGAGAGGGAAGTGGGGAGGGACAATATAGAGGTAGGGGAGTAAGAGTATAAATTATTAGGTATAAAATAAGCTATAAGGATATTGTACAACATGGGGAATATAGACAATATTTTATATTAACTATAAATGGAGTATAACCTTAAAAATTGTGAATCACTATATTGTACACTTATAACTGATATAATATTGTACATCAATGATACTTCAATTAAAAAAAATTAAAAGGAGTTGGGAACCATATGTATAGTAATAACCACTACTGGGATTACAATGGGAAACTGAAAAAGGACTTGTATTTTGGGGTCCCAGCCATCTCTGGGAGCACCACTAATATATCACCATCCCCTGCCAGTACTGGCATTTAAACTGGGAAATTGTCACTTTAACCCAAGAAAAATTCATGTGCCTATTTCTGTCTTTAACAAAGGCCTTCTTATTTTAGCTATCCCCCCAACAAAAATAAAACCAAACAAAACAAAGTAGGGATTTCAGGTTAGTAAGATTGAGATTTGGGAATCAGAAAGCCTTAAGACTCCCAAATTACATCATTTAGGTACGTATTACTTTACCTACAAAAAAAAAAATCCTCGATGGACATACCTTTAGGATTACATCACTTCCCACATTTTCCCCCCAAATCTATAATCCCAAACTTCACTGAGGATTAGTCCGAAGAGATGGCAACACTCACCACGGAGATCCAACAGCTCTGCTAAAACTGCGTGGATTAACAATGTGCACTCAGTGAGCTGAGGGGAAGCCTGATTTAATTCACTCGGGATTAAATCAGAATTCATTCTGTTTCTCACAGGGGGAAGGTGAGGTGAGAAGCGAAGTGATAAAGGAAAAAATATGTATGTGGTGGCTTAATTGACTTGTACTCATTTATAAGTTACAACCCATTGTTTTTATTATTTTCATATGTTCTTGAACTCTTCGAAATTCTCAAAGGAACAATTCCATATAAGTACAAAACCATGATGATACGCTATTGCTTTTTCCATTCCAGTTCAGCCAGCTCTAATGGTCTTCATGAGACAAGGGGAGATGGTGGTGTTTTTCTTAGCATGGAAACCTTCAAAATATCAAGGAGAGGGTGGCTTAGACAATGTCTCGAAATTTCTTTTTTCAGGAGCTCTGACTTAACAATGTTGTTGCAAAGAACAAAAAACGGAGGAGTGGAGGTAGGGGGTGAGTGAATCTATATGACAAATCTTGTAGTACTAGTGTTTGTGGTTAACTGAGAAACACATTATGAGTCAAACCTTTGGAAAGAGGTGAGTAATTAAAGACAAATGCTATGACATAATCATTTACACACAGCAGAAAGATTTTAGATTAAATCTGGCCTGACCCACTGCTCCGCAAGTGTTATCATGGATTCTTGAGAAGTATTCATTTATTTACTTTCTAATTTGGCCCATATGTTCTATTGAAAACAAAAAATTTCGTATTTCCCGGAGGAAATAGCCAGAGTCCAGCGATGGTTAATAAGGCTGGTGTATTTGGGAACAGACCCCCCCGACCCCGCCGCCGTGTGCACCAACAAACCCGATGAGCAACATGTCAGCTGGAAAACACCTCATCTGAAAAAAGCCAAGGAGCTGTGCTATAAGGACTTTTGCTGAAACAAATTCTCTTGTATTTAGGAAGATTACTGTGTGTACCGTGAGGTAATTCAGAGAAACGTCAGTTAAACCCGTCATTTTGCCATGATAATGAAAATCATGTTTACTGAGTTTTTAGCTTTGCTACTCTTCAACCTGCCCCTCAAACACACACACACACACAGACACACACACTTTTTGGCCTCATCCTATTTTCAGTTATCATAAATATCAGTCTGGTGTCGAGAAACCCGTTTTCAGAACAAGAACAGATTCTAGCCTCCCTCCTTTCTTAATCCCAGCCCTATAATATAAAACATGCCATGTAACTCCAGGAGACGGCTTCATGGTTTTCCAAATGCTATTAAATTTTAGCTGCTGCTTTTATTAAATGCAGGAAACAGGAGTGGGGAGGGGGAAGGGAAGACAGAGAAGGCCTGAGTCTCTACCTTTTGTTCTTTTTCTCTGCGTAGATGTACAATTGTTAAGGTAAGGTAGGTTTTCTGCAGAATGAAAGAAGAGTCGGTTCTGTTTGGTGAGCTGGCCCAGTTCTTCTAGGAATCTTGGAACATTCTATCGAAGAGCAATACATGTGTCTCAGGGCAGGAGAAACCATGGTAACACTCATCCCTTCCAGAGAGAAAGAAACTTAGAATTCATGGTCCTAAACCCAAGAGTCACACAGCGAGGATTAAGTATTAGAAACTGGCATGCATTTCCCTTACAGGATGATTATTTCCTAGTAACCACTATGTGGCCACATTCTGTTCTTTGGCAGGGTAAAGCATGAATGTGTATTCCTGGAGAAACACACATTTAGAGTTGGTGGTAAAATAAATTATATATATGATACAACTAAAATAAAATAAAATAAAAATTAGAGTTGGGGGTAAAGACAGCATGCCTCGCTGGCCAGTTACTGTGTTCTTGGAAACTCCACTGATGTGTCCAAACTTGACAGATGTTCAGAAAGGTGAGGAGGCTTATGTCACAGCCTTTGAAAAATTATTGTGTGAATGTATGTAGGTGTGTGTTTGTGTGTGCACAGTCATGGGTATATTTCTTCCCCCAAGTTGAAACCATAATTCCATCAATACTGTTATATGGGAGAAGTAAAAGCCACTGTAGGAATCTACTGTACTTCTCTCTAGGGCTCTTATGATTGTTTTCGCCTTTGCTCTCATCCTTTCTAAATCCCTTTGTTTATTATTGAAGCTTATATTATACATTGTTGAATGAACGCAGGTCCCACGGGAACCACAGTTCTCCCTGTCCATGGGTCACTTTGGTACCTGTTGTGTTTGGAGCAGTGGTAACAAAGCCCGGAGTCAAGGTAGCACACTCAGGAGAGCGGTAGGCAGGAATTTCATTACACCACATGACACAGGTGGGATGCTCTTCCCATTTCAACTACTGCCAACCTCATGGGGCACAGACAGATGGGCAGGGATGCTTCACTGCTTGCCTATTTGTCTCAGGACCTTTCCCTCTCACCTCTCCCAAAGCCAACTATTTGGTAGAAGAGGATAAAGCTTCTTGAGAGAGAAGGACTATTGTCAGGCAGTCAGTACAAGGGTCTGAGTCCCACTTAGCTCTCTTATTCTCTTCCCTCCCCACAAGGTATTCTACCCTAGATTTTTTTTCAGCACACTTTCAGTTCCATGACTGACCAAACCTTAATCCATATGTTTTCACCTGCAGCTTTTCACAGTGTACTTTGTGACTTTTCCCCAAACATCTCTGTGTTTCAGGAAAGGACAATCAGCCTTCTGTGTATACATCAAACAGTCAAGCTAGGTCTTGGATTGTTTAGCTAAATAGTTGCACTTGCTTATAGGAGTTAATGAATAAAACAAGGTCTGTATTTCACTAGTATCTTTGAACCTGAAGTCTTGCATTTCACACCAGGAGCCAATTTCATGCAGAACTTTCCTATTATAACACCTAAAATGAAAGAAAAAAAGCATTACTTAAAGAAACTGGCATTTAGAACGTAGCATTAAAATCTAAAAACTGAGGCTAATTTCAGAATTTCTATTTTTCCCTTGCTGCAATGTTTATGTGTTTGATTTTTAATTGGAACATGTATCTATGCTGATAAAAGATCAGAAACAATAGAATTCTGAATAACTGGGACAGAGAACAGTCTCAATGAGGAAGAGAAAAATAACACATAGGAACCCTAAGACTCCTGATTTGTTTTTTCTCAGATATAATACAATTTAAACTTGGAGAAGACCTATGTGAAATATTGCCTTCTTTATTTCTCAGAAGTTTCAAGTAAACAATTTTCCCTTGGTTGGCTTGACTTTTGGAAGAATGCTTAAAAGTGTGAAAGATATAAGAATAAGTTGCAAGAAAAGGAAAATACATCCCATTATGTATATCCTAATGTTATCTGATTCCAAAAATCACTGCCTGGGGGTTTTTACACCTCATTAAGTTATTCACCTCATTGTCTTCAAGAAAGGCTTTGCTTTTGACTATTATGAACATCTACTGATCTAATGAAGCCAGTAGATTCAACACACTATTACAGCCCCTGCTCCTTTTAAAATCAGCCTGGATAAATTTATCAACTGAGCTAATGAGAGAGCCCAGAGGTTGGGTTTTAGACAGATGTGTTTAAATAACTAATACATTATGGGCAGGTTCTATAATCTTGGGGCTGTATGAGGTTTCCCAATGCGGATAAACACCAGTGAGGGTAAACTTGGACATAATGGTACCAAGGAAAGTCGTACAACAGAAAGAGGAGGATTCTAAGACTCAAAGTTGAAGTGAGGAACTCGGGAAGATGCTTTCTACATAAATATTTCTAGGCCGGTTTTTGTTATTCCACAAAATACAACTTAGATGTGCTAAATAGAATCATCTGTGTTTCTGTTATGCTCCAGATTCTGGCCAATTTTATCCAAGGCATTGGAACTCCAATCCGGCAAGAAATGTTTCTTCTAATTTCCAGTACTGGAGGAACTGCTGCTTTGATCTGGGATATACTACTTCTCAGCCACAATGATGCCATGCCATCATTCCCACTTCACATTATAGTTCTCTTTTTTTTTTGAACTAACACACACGTATTTTATTATAATATTAATGAATAGTAACTGGACTTTACAGTAGGTTCCATTCACCTAAGTCAAGGAACAGATTCTTAGTCTAGCGCATCTAAAGCTTTAATGTAGATGTGTAACCAGTTCATGTCTAATGTTTACAGGCTCTATGCCACAGGTGAGAGCCAACAAAGGTTTTGCAGTTTCATATACAATAAAAATACTAAGAAAAAATGCTAAAATGTATGCCTATTAGCTTTCAATCCAAATTCAAGAATGATTTTTTGACTGTGTACTTTTTGAATTTTTTTTAAATTGGGGTAGAGTTGCATATAGTTTCTCTCTTTCTACTCTCCCTCTTCTTTATCTCTTTGAATGAAGCCTGGCATTCAAAGAGATAAGGCAAACTCCTAGGAGTAGCCCCCAAACCAATCTCCAACACTTGTTGAATGAGTCTGGCTTATGTTCTCCCTACCTCAACCATTTGATGCTACCACTGACCACTTTGGCATCCTCATGCTATTGAACCAACATGCAAAAAAAGGAGCTTACTATTTGCTATCGTGCTTGATCTTGATGACCCAGGGGAAATTGGATGACTCTGTTCACTGGGGACAGGAAGAATTATGTCTGGGTTCCAGAGGATTCTCAGGGCATCTTTCCATGTCTCATGCCAATAGCAAAAGTGAATGGAAAATGGTGGCAACAAAAAGACGGCAGCACCAGTGAGGTCTGAAGGTTTGTGTCACCTTAGCGGATAAAGAACTAAATTTGCTAAGGAGCTGAAGGCTAAGAAAACATGGGATAGAGAGTGGAGGGAAGGAATGATAAATATCTACTATGGCCTCATGACTACTGACAAATCAAGAGCTATAGCAGGCATGCATATTTACTTCCTTCTTTATTGCGTTGTGTGGCATATATGCTAGTAATTTTCTTCTCTTTTTTTCTTCCTATTATATTATGTAAGGATGGTTGTATTGTCGGGTCATTTTAAAATTTAGTGTTTAGGTTACAGAATATCCTGGTGGGACTGTGACTGGATTATGAAAATAGAGACTGTCACTCAGAGATGGATGCCATGCTCGTTGCTCAGGGATGGAGACCTTGACTGTTGGGACTTTATATCTTCTCTTTTTGGTGAGAGGGCAACAGAGTTTTCATTTGTATGAAGGATGGTTGACTCTTATTAGAGAAAAGTATAAAGAGATTCTTCCTTTCTGAAAGTTTAAATATATGCAGAAGAGTATGTGTCAGTGTAAGAAGACAAAGGGTGTGAACATGTTTTTTATTGAGCTCTTGCCTCTCATTCCAATCAGCCCTTCCATGATCTGTTTTTTGATGTTGGGGCCGGGACTCTGCACAACACACTTCTCCTTTGTCATCTGGATTCTGCCAATAAGAGATACCAGAGGGAGACTGGGAGACAGGAACAGGGAGAAACGATTTGCTCCTTCCTGCTCCTGAAGCATCCTCCAGAACTGGCCCTTTGCCACCAGGCAGCACAGTTGGCTGCAGTCTCCAGCTCCCTTTAGCACCCCCAGAACCAGTCTCATGAGTCCCCTCAATGTTCCTAATGTAGCACCAAATGTCTGAGTACAACTCCATGGGGACCCTGCCTCCAGCACCAGATCCATGGCACTTTGTGTTTAGGGACCTGAGTCTCAGCTTTCCAAGGTCTTTCCTCCGAGTTCTGAGGGTCGACACAAGCCCTCCTCAGGTCTGAGTCCAGCCCCTCTAAGACCTCCTCTGAGCTTCTAGGTTCTAACTACTAACCTCTTCCTTTGTTTCCCCAGGCCCTACTTCCCGCAGTTGCTGTCTCCATGTTATCTCCATGTTCCCCTTCTGCTTTTTAGTTCTCAAACACCTATTTAACCTATTCCCTGTATTATATTATCTCTGCTGAAACATGGATTCTGTTTTCTAGATTGGACCCTGCCTGGAAAAAAAAAAAAACCTAATTACTATAAAGTGTTCCATTTGAAAAAGGACAGAATGGGAAACAACCTCGAGGGGTCACTGGTCCAAAGCATATACCATATTCCCATGGAAAGGAAGCCAAGGCCCCCTACACTAGCAGTAGACTGAATTCCTTGGCCAACCCACCTGTCAGCCTTCATCTGCCCTCTGGGAACATTTCCCTGTTCATTTTCCCAGGGATGCACTGGGGGTTCTCCACTTCCTCTTGGTGAGTGTGTGAGGACATGGTGATTTCATCAGGGAATGAGCAATCCTAGGACTTCCTTGATTAGCTTTGTCTTTCTCTAAACACACAATTCCCTGATGACCTTGGTCAAATTTTAATCTATTTTATTCATTCAATTCAAGGGCTAGTAAGCAAAACTAGAGCTATTGTAGGCTGTAGTCTTTGAGCCTGGAATTTGGCATGGGCATTTCTCTTTCCAACCAAAGACCTTGGTTCTCTTATTATTAGCAAGTATTTATTAAGTACATGCTGGGTAGCAGAAATGCATCAGTGAATAACATGCATTCCTTATTTTAGATAAGTTCACAGCTGAGTGGGGAGGGATTAGGATGGGAGAAAAATGAGCAAATTGGGCATTTTAACTTAGGTAGTTCTGGTTGCAATGAATAAAGGTAACGCTGATGTCTGTGTGTGGTGGTGAGAGGATGCTTCTCCCAGTCTCAGTGAGGCAGGGAGAACTTCCTGGTGAAATGAACTTGAGCTGAGAGTAAGACGAGGGGAATGAGGAACACTCTAGGCAATGGAAAGTCAGAGAAGTATGACAAGTATTAATTGTTCTTGCAGAACTGGGCAAAGGGAAGGGAGAAATCTACTTTTACTTTTTTAACTCAAAAGAAAACTAGTTCAAGTTCATACACATCAGATTAGCCAAACATTCACTATCTCCACCTTGCAATTCCTCGTTTTTCTGAGTTTCCTAAAACTCCAAAGGCTTACACGGTCCAACAGGAGGTCATCACTCTGACCTAGTCATCCAAGAGTGATGAGCTTGGGGTCAGGTCAGTCTGTTATTGCTTTTGCTTCATGCTGCCACTTGGTGACACTGTTGACAATTGGACCTACAGTCCACAAAGATGATGATGTGCCAGGGACCTGCTGCTATGGATCTTGGAGGTTGGAGGATCCACCTCTCAGAATCAGCCTCAGTGGAGTGAGGGGTGCCTAGGTTCAAAGCTCTTAATCTTTGGTCTCCCATACAGAGCCGTTCTCTGAGATGACAGCTTCAGCAGGAGCATGACCTCAGGACTGAATCAAGCATTTATCCCCTGCAGATTTAGAATTTCTTATCTCTTTCCTTCTCTAAGGACAGATACCAGCAGGGATCAGACAGCTTTCTTCTTCAATTCTGGAAATAGATAAGTTCTTTTTACTCACTCTTCCCTGGACAATTAGAATAGCTGCCTACTTCCTCATGGCCACCTCATCTTCTCCAGAATATGAATATATATAGCTCTCTCTATACTATCCCCTCTTTGGATTGACAGCTCTACATCCAGTGCCTAAAGATTCTTTACTCTTCTGAAGATGATCAAAGTGGTCTCCCAGTATCACTTTCAGAAGAGCAAAAAAGAAAAAATTCCTAGTTTAATATTCATCAGGACATTCCACTACAGAAATATTATAGGGACAGAAAATAGTTTATAGGAATAGAACATAGGAGTTTGGGGGGGGGGATAGTAAAACATGAGATAGTGCAGATGAGAGCCTAGGTACAGAAAGGACTTTGGTGCCATGCTAAGGAGTTGAAGCTTACTTCTGAAGGCAGTGGAGAATCCATGAAGGATTTAAGTGAAGTGGAATGAAGTATTTGAATTTCAGAAAGTTGCTCTTGCACTAGTGAGGAGGACTGACTGCAGAGGGCAGGCAAGCTTGTAAAAATGTAACAAGAGATTGTATCACGACTTTACTATGGTTAGTACAAGTCTTCATCAACTGAGCCACTAGCTATGATCAAAATTTGTAGAAGCATTTAACCCTAAAGAGTGATCTTATTGGATCTTTGATATAGCCTTCTCTGTACGATCACACTGACTGTAGCTTGTCACCAAATTGTCCCGTAATGGAGCTCTTTTAAATCAGAAGTTTTCTTAAAATATTAATCCATCTATATTTGTTATATCTTTTTCTGAAATAGAAGAAGGAATTTAAATTATTTCATCAGCTATTAAGGATCAGATAGTTCATCCCTAAGCTTCTGAAGACAGAAACCCAAAGTTTGAACTTATTTCTAAATTTTTACTCTTTCCTCATTTCTGACATTTTGCCAATTTCTGCTAATACTTTTATAATATTTGTAATTACCAGAACTCCCAATAGTTCTATCTTGGAACTAGAGGTGGGTGAAACCAGCTGTATTGGGGGTTTGGTGAACATCTGGAACTATTTTTCAAATCGTGTTTGGGGTTCAAGGAAAACCAAAACATATTTTCATATTTTACCAAGAACTTTTTTTCTACCTCAATTTTAAAATGATGTCTATTTTAAGGAAAATTTAATCCATATGTTACTAAATTCCTTACACTTACCTCATCAAAATTTTGTTCTGTAAGAGCTGTTTGATGTGCAAAAAGCCTTGGGAGTTATTTTATGAGATTTTTTTTTAAGAGGAATTTTTTTTCTTAGAAACAGGAAGTCAAATTTGCTAGGTGAAGTGTACATTTTGCCATTCTAATAAGTGTACATTTTGCCATTCTAATAAGTGAAGGTGGAATTCCTAGATTTTGAGAAGGATATTTTAAACACACATCCCAGAAGTTATCAATTCACATGACCGTGTTCTCCAACATTACCACCTCTGCTCTTATTCCAATGATGCTGTGTATCACTTAGGTAATGCCAGCTACTAGCAAACATTACAGAGTAGTCACACTCCCAACATCTCAGTGGCTTAACAAAATAGAAGATTATTTTTCACTCATGTAAAATCTAAAAGGGGTTTTTCTGGTCAGGTCTCCTTCAGTTGGGAGGAGGGACCCGGGTTCCTGCTATCTCACATCACACCATCTTCAATACATAACTGAATCACCACTGAGCAGAGAAGAACATGAGGACTCTTGTGTGGGAGGTATTTATGGGCCATAACTAAAAGGAGTAGATATATTGGAACTCAGTCACACACTGGGCAACTGGGAAAAGTAGTCACGGTGTAGTCTCAGAGACAGGGAGAAATGGACTTGGTGATCGGGTAGTGATCTCTTCCACATACCTTCATTGTTCAAGATCTATTTGGAATTCCCATTTAAAAATTATTTTCAAAGCTAGCTTTTGATCCTTTAAGAAAAATAAGGGGTGAAATATCTATCAGCTACATGTATAGAGCTCACTGTCTTCTAGAAAGTACTAGTAATAGCTGGGACTCTCAGGCTGTCTAAAGATTAGGATACCCTTCATGTATGGAAATAACCTGACCTAATGCAATATCTCTAATCTGGAAATGGGAGAACAGTAGGCATCAACAACCCTAGATTAAATCAGAAAATACTGTATAAACAAAGTGAAGTTACGGTAGTACAGTGATGGTAGTGGCGGTGATGGCGGTGCTGTTGAAGGTAAGAGGTTATCATTACCAACAACATATGTTAATCCTCCTTTCTACCCCAATCATAGTTTCCTTTCAGCTGAGGAATCAGCCTTGTATTTCTTTCATGTTCTGACAGCATCTGGTTCAGAGCCCAACACATACTGAGTGGTCAAGAACTTTTGTCTGTAAATTTTAGGTTTTACAACAAGCATCTAATGCACTCAACACCACATTCTGTATCGTGTCACTATTCTGCATTACCAAGTTGTGTGCGTCAGTTAAGACATGCACAGTTAAGCACTACTTACAATAGCCAAGACATGGAAGCAACTGAAGTGTCCATTGACAGATGAAGGGATAAAGAAGATAAGGTGTGTACACACACACACACACACACACACACACACACACACTGGAATATTACACAGCCATAAAAAATCGGTAAACTAATGCCATTTGCAGCAACATGGGTGGACCTAGAGATTACCATACTAAGTGAAGGAAGTCAGACAGGGAAAGACAAATACCATATGCTATCACTTGTAAGTGGAATCTAAAATATGACACAAATGAGCTTATTTATAAAACAGAAAGAGACACAGACGTAGAGAACACACTTATGGTTACCAAGGGGGAAAGGTGGAGGGGAGGGATAAATGAGGAATCTGGGAGTAACAGACACGCACTACTAATGTCTGGGAACCCTCCGGCTGATGTCCTCCTGTGTGGGGACGATTTTTTCACTCTCACAAGTTCTCAGAGTGTCTCTCCTCTAGGAACAACATCTGACACTGGAACTTCCGAAACTTGCAGTACGGTGTCAAGCCAAGCCTCTTTCCTGATAGGAGAAATGAAAGTCAATTTTGCTCTTCGTTCTTCTGACTGATTCATTGTGCTTTGACCTTGTGTGGACCAACCTTTTTTTTTTTTTTTTTTTCCAATACTCCAATGTCATTTTATTCTCACGACAGAAGGATAGCTCTGTTCTCCTTAGCAGTGATAGAGGTCAAAAGGAAAAGCATAAGATTCAAAGACAGAGAATACCCTAAACTGATACAAACTGTGTTAGCTGGAAGAGAATATTTATAAGACTGATTCTTTCATTTTATTGGGGTATAGTTGCTTTACAATGTTGAGTTAGCTTCTGCTGGACCAGCTTTTGATTCCCTTTGAAGTCTGTGTAGATGATTTGGCACCTCAACGCAGTGCTTGGTGCTTTCATGGCAATCCAGGGTCTGGAAACTTCCCTACACTCCACAGCCATCATTTAGTGATGACTCCTTCAATTTCTGCCTCGCTTACTTTCATTGCACAACTTAGAATTTAGTTATACACATCTTTATATTTTTGGACTCTTACTCCCCAGTCTAAACTGCTAATTTGCTAAAGGAATGGGCTGTGTTTTGTGTTTCTCCTGAATCCTACTCAAAGCACCTAGTATCCTGTCTGAATAACCTAACAGTCACTCACTAAACAGATGCCATGATGATGAAATCATACTAATTGCTTTTGATGACATCCCAGATCTTATACTTTCACATGAATGCTTTCCTTGTCAAGACTGCCACCTGGGGAGGCTATCCACATATGCCAATGATGTTATCAGTGCTCAACATAATGTTTCAATACTTCTCTCTCTTTGAATGTGTGTCAGAATCTGTGACTTTTATTTAATGCTTGATATTTAGCACAAACTATAATGTAAGACACTGTTTTCAGTGAGTACCCCAAAGATTATTCAGACACAATTCCCACTCACAGACATTTGCCATCTTATGTAGAAGATAAGGCAAATGTGTAAATAGTGATGATACAAGGCAGAATGTGTCAGGTATGACAGTGAGATACAAAGGATGTTAAGGACCAAAAAGAGAAGAAGAGGTATTTAGGCCTGAGCCTGCAAGGTACTGTGCAATGCCAATGACTGTAAATCCTTATCCTATAATTGGTTTTGTCTCAGGAAGCAGCTAAAAGCTCCCTGAAACTAGGTCTAGGAATGAATTAGATGAATACACTAGATAATACCATCTGGAGCAATAAGTCATATCCCTAAGTTAGGAAGTGATTTCGAAGGCAACTGTGTCTTCAAACAGAAGAAACTGATGGCCAAATGAGCCTATCAGGTATCAAAAGATTCCTGTGATATGGGTCACACTTGCCTGGCATCTAGCTTTTGATCATTTATCTCTCTGCCCCATCTGTACCTCCGTTTCCTCATTTGTAAAAGAAAATATCATAAACGGTCAAAGGTTTCCAATGGAACTGTGAAAATATCCAGACTTTCTGTGAGATTTCACTTGTACAAACAAGTTATATGTTATGTGTTAAATGGCAGTGATATAGCATTCGAGAATTGCTGGGCTGTATAACTGCTGAGCCCTCTTCCGGTTTGCACGTTCTACACTCTGTACACAACAGATGAGGGGAAGCCACCAACGCCGTTGGGTGACAGAAAACAGCCATTTGCCAGCTGCAGATCATCTGTCCCGCAGCCAAAAAGCCGAGGGAATTTCAAGACCCTGGGCATAGGCCTGCTTCTCTGTCATCGGTTCTCCTGTCACCCTATTTTATTTCTCTCATAGTATTCACGACTTTTAAATTATTCATTTATTTACCTTTGAATTGTGTGTTTTCCCCACTAGGGAAATGGTAAAAAATAAGTCTGAAATTAATTTGTTGTTGGAATATGCTAAGATCCTTGGATGGAATTCTGTACTATAAGTGAAGATGTGAAAAATTCTTACCAATGGGGTTGACTCTTTGGAAGTGTTAATTTAGGAAATTTCATCTGGATGGATTGAAGGTCAGGGATAGAAACAAGGAGGTCAGTTAATGGTTACTGTTACATCTCTGAGATGAGGGGAATGCAAATGAAGTAGGAAGAAATAGGAACAATGGTGGACCTACCTTTAAGAGTGAGAGAATTCCTGAGTCATCATGGGAACTAAGTCAGAAATAAAATACAACCTTAGTTCTGCTGGCCGTTCTCTACTGCCATGTCCATATCCCCTTTGTCACACCTGTGGTACCTTCTTCTGGTTAGAATCCCTATCCTCAAAACACACACACATACACACACACACACACACACACACACACACACACACAGTCACAGTCACAGTCATAGTTCTTTCTTTGCTTTTGTTTATCCTTATTTTGTAGTTTTTTCTCTAAAACAAATATGGGTTATTGGGGAATAAAAAAGAAATTTAAAAAGAGAAAATGAGTTACTGGCCACTTTTTGCAAATCATAAAAAGAGAGGCATTTAATATTTACCAAGAATGGAAAATGAGAAAGAGAGTTAAATTATATATTTAAGAAATAAAGAGTTATATTAGATTATAAAGAGAAGAGTATAGACGATTTTTTTTTTTTTGGAGAGTTGTAAAACTTTAAGGATTTTTACTGAACAGGGAAGTAACTGAAGTTATAATAGACATTCACCTATAAATTAGAAATAATAAAAGTACCTGTCTCTTTCCACTTCCCTGAAACTCTACAAGGTTAATAAAAGGCATAATGCATTTGAAATTGCTTTACATTTTTTGAAGAAATGTTTATTAAAATATATTTTAAAAGAAAGGAGCATGCTCTAAATGGAATAAAAATAAACTTGTATTTTTCCTCACATGCTACCATCACAATTTTCCTATATATTCTAATGCAATTTTTGTTCAGTACAGTTCTGATTTCTAAATATCTGGGAAATTAGAAAGCCCAGTTATGCTCACTGATATGTTTATATATCACACATAATCCTCACTATTTTGTACCATAATTATATGATTTTTTTTACCTGTTTTCCTAGACTACTGTGAATGCCTTGGGGAAGAAGATGTGTTTCTTTATTTTTCTTAACCCTGGTCCTTCGACTAAATGAGTTGCTTAATAAATGGGGTTAATGAATGAAAAGATTAATACAGTACAAATCATTCTATGACATTTCACTGCATAAGAATTAATAATATTGAATTACTATTGGAAAAACAACCTATTTTGATTTCTTGTATAACAACCAGGAAAATATGAATATTCTTGAAAGAAGAAACAAATATTTAAATATCTAAAAGATAATTTCCACCACTGGTTTACTCTCAGAGAAAGTAGAAAATTTTAGATTCAAGAATCTCTTAGGTTCACCAAATCCCTTCTTTTCTTTCTGTTTGTATAAATCTTTTTTCCACCTATTCATGGGTTACAAGTAAAAAAAAAAAATAGTGTTTAAATAGGAAAGGGAAAGGGAAATTTTCTGTTAAAAATAACAATTACATTCACAGAATAATCTTACCTCTTGACATAAGTACCCTGAAAAGTACTTATATTTTTCCCTGTGATTATATTTATACACATGTTAGAGGATAAAGATTATATCTAGTATATAGCTATATATTATACATCTATATAGTGTTTTACTTTAAGCTGATTACTTTTGATTACATATACAACTAATTATACATAATATTATTTAAGTTGAAGTAGATGAAGATTTTACAAAAAGTAGTGGGAAACGACCACTTTTTCCCTTTGGCTGTTTTGAACCATTAATACACTTTGCACATGTGGCTCTTGTCTTCATGTTTTCCCATCTCCATTTAGGTCAGCCCAAAAAAGAGCAACACACTGCCCTAGGAAGAGAATCAACTTTACAGTCAGGTATTCCTGGACTTGAATTACTCCCACCCACTATTTTAAAGTCATGAGTCCTCCTTGAACAAATCACTTCACCTTTCCGATTCACACTTTCACCATCTGTGCAATGGGGGTGATTCCCCCTCACCCCTCCAACACGCCTTCATACCTGTCACCTATTAAGCCTTCAGTAAATACAAGTATGCATGCTCTTACTTCCCCACACCTAAATCTCTTTCAAAAATATACAGAAATCTCTTTGAATCCATTACCTCACATGATTCTGCCTTTTTTTGTGTTGTTAAACCTTCCCCTATGGTTTCCAAAACCACACATATGCAATAACACATAGTTCATATGACTAAGATGTAATACCCTCTAACAGCTTTTGCTCATCCTGGTAGGTTGAATCTCAAATTGGCAGCCTCCAACTGGTTATCTGTTGAAACACTTTATCCTTTCATAAGGGTGAATCCAGAGTGCACTGAGTAATGCATAATAAAATTAGTTTTGGGAGAAAGGAACCAAGTTTAATAGAAAAAAAAAAAAGGGACAGATAAGCACAGTAAAATAATCTCCAATGACTTCATTGTGAAGTAATGACTTTTACCAAATAACTGTATTGTAGTTTTATCTTTCCAACCAAGATTGTGTTAATGCTCTAAAATTAAATCTCTTGTGAAAGTTATCTGGAATTTCTCAACAAGTTTTTAAAGGGGTTTTATTTTTTCATTGGAGGTCATGCCTCAAGAATTTGTAGGAATTCCGCCTGGAAAGTAATAATCAGTGGAAACTGGCAGTCAAAGCTAATTTATATTACTCTTCCAGATAAAAATTCCTTCCGTCTTAGACCTGCATTTCAAAAAAGATTATTATCACTCTGGAGAGAATACATCAGTGTAGAAAAAGGAAAAGGAGAATGACCTCAAAGATGTCTTTGCTGCCTCTGTGCAACTCCAGGTCTGCTTCTTTTTAAAACTCCCTTTTTAATCCTCTCTTTTGAAATGTTTTGAGGCTATTCAAAGTAGGAGGATGTCAGAGGCATGCCTGAGGAGGACTCCCAAAATAATGTTTCCTAGTTTGCCTGCTGTGGGAGTTCATGACACATCTTGGGTGGTGGGAAAAAGGAGGACAGAAGAAGGACATATGGGGGAGAGAGAGGTTCAGCCCCTGGACTAAGAGGAGGAAGGTGTTTTCCCTACAGCAATATATTCTAATCCACTTAGTGGCTAAAGAGATTGGTCCTTCCCAAATCAGATTCTTTGCTCTTCCTTTAGCTGTTTGTATTTCCACATGCATGAGACATTCATGAGGGAGCATGCTGAATGGAAAAGCCTTGGCTATTTTTAAAGACAGACCTAAATTTAAACCTCAGCTCCTCCATTTACAAGTTACTGAAGACTTCCCTGGTGGTCCAGAGGTTAAGACTCCACACTTCCAATGCAGGGGGCAATGGTTTGATCCCTGATGGGAGAACTAAGATCCCACGTGGCATGCATTGTGGTCAAAAAAATCAAAATCAAAAATTTTTTTAATTAAATTAAAATTTAAAAAGTTACTGAAGCCCTCAGTGTCAATGTCTCAGTCTCCATACCTACAAAATGGGTTTCATAGACGTGTTAGGAGTCAACTAGATGTTATATGTAAATCATTCAGCTCAGCATTTTGTTAGTGCCAAATAAAAGTTTGCTGGAAAAACAAATGGTCAATAAATATTCATTTCCTTCTACTCTCTCCATCCTATCCAGAGAATATGAGGTAGTAATCCAATGTGGATAACTTGTCTATTCAAGGATCCAATCAATGAAACACTAGCGCTCTCTGTGGTGATTCTGAAAATGGAAGCCACCAGGTATTTTTGAATCAATACCAGTGAAAATCCACAAAAGAGATATGACAAATCATAATCTGTATGATCAGACCAGGTATTCAGAAGTTCCACCCACCTCTCAAGACTAGAAGCCTACACCGAGGGGACTAGGAATAACTTTTAAGGGCCATTTTTTATTCATAGGATTTCAATCTGAGATACAGCTAAAAACATATTAGTGTCAAAACCAAACGGCCTGCCTTTTCTATCATCCCAGATGTACGTAACGAATGGATCAGACCTACCAAACTTCCAGCATTCAACAGACCAAAACTGAACAGAGGAAGCATTTCATTTACTAAGAATTCAGTCACTCTTATTGAAATATTTCAGCAGTTAAACCAAAAGTTGCTAGCATCATAAATACAATTTGTACAATTCCACAAAGCATATATTTGGGACAAGGCCATTGTTAATCCTATGTGGTTTTTCAGTGGGTAGGTAATTCTTTAACAGTAGAAACAGAAGACAGATTTGCTTCCAATTGTGAGCTCATTCCTAAGGTCAGAACTGAAAGCTGAAAGAGAAACAGAGTCCAAAATAAACATCAGTTCGGACTACAAAGCATTTCTCTCTGAGGGTGCCCAGGTTTAGATGAAGGAATTCCTCCTCAAACAAGGAGAAATCTAACTCACTTTTCCCAGTTAATAGTGGGCATGCCTCGTGTCTGCCTGTTCACATTGATCCATTCCCCCACCTCAAATCCATTTTCCTAAGACCCTGGCTTAAGAACCACATGAACCCAAAGTCCTCCTGACTCGTTGCTCTTTAGTTGCTCTAGAGGAGCAAAAAATAGAGTTATAAACTATCTGTAGGAATAGTCACTAACATGAGCAGCCAGAAAATCTCGGTAAGAGAGCCAAAAAGTTTAATTTGTTCTAACCTATGATTTCTTAGTAAATATTAACTAATGTGGGAAGCATGCATGGGTTTACTTCTCTAGGCTGTTTGAACATTATAAACCATAATTTTTTAAAACAAAAAGTTTAAGCAAGACCTTAAAAAGTGACTCAGAAAGGATGGATGTTTGGTTTGCTTCCCTCACCTCCGCTAGGCTACACATCTTCGGAGTGATGTTTTCCTTTCATGAGCTTGTCCCTTTCACTATGTGCCTGGTTGATGCATAATTCCCTCTGCAGGTGTCTCCAAGGCCCCAAGTCTCCCTTTGGTTAAGTGCCCAAGCAAACCAACCAATGTGCGCCATGGCACTTACCTTCCTTTACCTCAGTCACGTCTGCCAGTTGGATGCTCAATCACACCAAGACTGAAGACTTAACCACTGACCCAGGTGCAGACTCCCAGGAGCCCTGCACAGAGTCATGACTGAGACATGAACCAGAAACCTACATGTCTCCTAACCACAAAAGTCCTCTTCCTAGCCCAGCCTTCAGAAGTTCAGTTGATCTGTAAATAGCTATCTGTATGGACTGGAGTCTTAGAAGCTATTATTGCTTTATGGTCAATTCATTTACTTATTGATATATTTTCAAGATGTCAGTCAGATGCTGTCTTCCTTAGATCCCATGGACACAGAGCTACTCTAGAATTTTGGAAATTTC